ATTGTTGCATCTTGAAATTGCAAGTTAACCGCATTTCGAATCGAAGAAATAAGCTAAAACGTGAGACCGAAAATGTCATTTGCTTTACCAGAGACAGTTCTGATCTTCTTCTTCGTCTTTGTGTTACCAGTAGTAGTCACGGGCGTTAAAACCTTTTGCGTCTCGCATTATTAAATTTCTTTGCAATACCCTTTTCATAAAACCTTCTTGCAAGATATTAAAAAATCGATGAGTGATTTTCGTCCACTTCTACGCATTGCATATAAAGTTTGTATGTCTTCGTCCAGATCAGTGACATCCGAAACCCTATAGTAAAACTGGCTTAGCTAGAATTTGAAGTATTGAAATTATACGCACGCGGCCTGTTCTTCTGGCAAAAAGAGTATACCACCTTGACTTCGCATGCTGAGCTCGGCCTGTCACAGAAAGAATAACATAGCTTCGAATTTGCTCTATAAGAAGAGAAACGTAATAACTGAGGCAGGTATGTATAAAATGGAGCACGAGGATAAAGTGGTTTTGAAACTTTGATAGATTACAATCTCTATGCCGAATCCGCTAGGAGAGCTTCAATCAACAGATCAGTCATATTATTCAGTTGTCTTATTTTCCCACCCCTCGAGACCAAACATTCTGATGATGGAAAATGTCAGATCAGGTGAGACGGCTCTTGTCACAGTCAGAAAAATTTGCGAATATATGAGTTTTAAAGGTAAAGGAGTCGTATTAAATACACGACCCGCCATCCAACCATTCTCATAGAGAGGTAAATTTTCATATAAGTCGGTTGTTTGGCTAGTTAGGATGCGTTACCCAAGGGGTTAAACACCTACTGCACGTACTTCATCAAAGAACAAAAATATCCACAAGATACGATTTAAGCAAGCCCGAAGCTGAAAATATTGTTGCACAAATGATTCAATTCACAAACAGCTGTAATACGGTTTCCATTATTGCAGCGAGTGCTAGTAACACACTGAACAAGACAGGAGAAGAGTCTAGGTCTACTTATACGGTCGATTGGGTGGTAGTATAAAACTAACTAACGCTTAGCTTATGTTGGCTGGTTTCATTACATTGTGATCGATTTAATTTTGAGAAATTTTAAGAGCCTTGCATTCTTAATAGTACCTTTATGCTGGAACCTTATAGTACAGATGGCAGCAGAGTCTATTGGCCTAAGTTCATTACCGGCTCCTTAGTGCAGTCTGAATTTTCCCAGTCATGAATCAAAGGTTCTTTCTGCGTCCAGCCTAGAAGTAAAGCAAATCTTGACTCGTCACTGGTCGACCTAGCTTCATCAAACTTGCCTTCGTTGTTGACAGATAGGCGCATATCAAAGCGTTAGGGTCAGTAACGACTAACTCGATATGCGTTAAGGAATACTGAAGATCACTACAAGCTCTATAGTAACACATAATCAATCTTTACCGGGTCCCGGGCATAATGGGATGAGATGGGTCTTGGGGAAGCGATCCAGTTCGTGAAATCTCCCCTGCGATTTCTGTCTTAAGAAGTTCAGAGAGTGACCAACAGCAGGTGGGAAAATCTGCACACATGCACGGTATCGCGCTCGATCTGGCCACGGCTCGACGTACGAAGAACACGGAGTTCATTAAGGCTTTCAAAGACAAAAGTTAGGCTTCTCACAGAAATACGAATGGGACATTGGACCATTGGCCATATGGCCGCCAGGTTCCAATCCTTTGCGATTGCTTAGCACTCACGCCTCAACTGGAAAGTTCCACTAGAAGGACTGCTAGGATTTGCCGGAGAATAAAAATGGTTCAAGGACATGTAGAGGAACGCAAGGAAAACCGGGAATTTGGACCGGTTTCGGTCCTCAAATAAGCGGTAACGGAAAAGGGGCGGTGCCGAAATATCGTAAAAGAAATAACAGTTTTTACAAAAATGCTATTTATTTTTATATTTTTTTTATAAAGTAAAGTAAAGAAAATAAATAAATATATTACATGCATTCGTTAGTTGATATTTGTGGTACCATAATTTATCAAAATAAATTACATCAAATTAAATTTCCACGTTAGTATTTCATTTAAAACAAATTAATATTTCCATAATTTTTTTTGATGTTGTCGCTGCGTTTTTGAGCCATTCAAATCGCTGCTGACAGTGATTTGGTAGCGCCAAGGATGAGGAAGGAAACTAGCTTGACATTATATTTAAAGAAAAAATGTGTAGGCCAACTCAGAACTCCACAATACGGAAACAAACCGAGTTTCAAGTCGATAGCATCAAAAATAACGAGGAATCGAGTTTCGATTCTTCTGCGACTGTTTTTCGGTTCTTTTGGAATCGAGGTTCGGTTCTTCTGGAACCGGTTTTCGGTTCTTTTGGAATTACGTTTCGATACCTCCGAAACCGTTTTTCGGTTCTTTTGGAATCGAGTTTCTGTTCATCATTTAAGGAATTAACCCACTGTGCATAGACTACGAACACATATTTGCCGCTCACATTCTTTCTCATGCTCCACTCGCTCACTCTCAAAATTCCATCTCAGCGTGCTCTATGTCAAATTCATGGCGCTCATACCCCAACAAGTTGAAGAACACACGTGGAAAAGCAGCCAAAGTGGGAAGAAATCGTGCTTTAGAGAAAGAGATAGAGAGAGAACAAAAACGATGGGAGTGAATGAGGCAAACACAAACACACTAACATATTAAAATAGCTTGCGTGGAGCAGTTGGCATTGCGAGCAATTGGAGAATGAGTTAGTAAGTTTTTGGTATTTTGACGACTTGCTGGGGCAATAAGGTAGCAATTGCCAACCTAAGGAAGACAGTCTAAAAGTAACAACGAAGCGATTAAGTACGGTGGAAGCAAAAACAAAACTAAAAAAATTAAATTGTGTGTGTATAAGAATCTAATAACAAACGGTGCTAACAACAAATACTACAACAACAACGACTGGCAAGAAAACGTAAGGCAAACGTGTGTGGAAAAAGAAATACGACGGAAGATAGATACAGTANCTAACATATTAAAATAGCTTGCGTGGAGCAGTTGGCATTGCGAGCAATTGGAGAATGAGTTAGTAAGTTTTTGGTATATTGACGACTTGCTGGGGCAATAAGGTAGCAATTGCCAACCTAAGGAAGACAGTCTAAAAGTAACAACGAAGCGATTAAGTACGGTGGAAGCAAAAACAAAACTAAAAAAATTAAATTGTGTGTGTATAAGAATCTAATAACAAACGGTGCTAACAACAAATACTACAACAACAACGACTGGCAAGAAAACGTAAGGCAAACGTGTGTGGAAAAAGAAATACGACGGAAGATAGATACAGTAAAAAAAAAGAGAAATTACTCACAGCAAAATTTTGTTGCTTTTTTTGTTATTTTTGAGCGTAGCAACTAAAGTGCTTATTTTAAATTTAATTTGCATTTTTTTTTTATTGCTGTCAATTTTTTTATGGTGGAGCTACATACGTGATAAGCTACAGCTTAGGAGGCGAGCACGCGGTTTTCAGCTTTGTCAGCAACAACAACAAAAGCAAAGTGATACTAATATTAAATTTTGAAAAAGCGAATTGAGCCATGCCGCACATAATGACGTCATAACTGATTTTTTCTTTAATTTTTGGCTCTTTGCAAATCTCAAAATTGCTGCATTGCGAATTTTGATTTTTGCAAAAAAAAAAAACGTAGAAACTGGATTGTGAATCATTTCGACGCATTCGCGTGCCAAAACGCCATTTGTTGGTGCTGCAAGTGCTTTTAGGTTAAATTAATGCGACTTTTTTTGCTCAAGGTGAATGTGCGTGCAATAAACGGCATGACAACAACAATAGAAACAACAATAACGCAACAGCCTAGTTAGAGCTTCTTCTTTTATGCTTTACGAAAATCGATCGAATAATACGGTTGAAATTCCGGTTTCCTCACATTATACAACACTAGCAGTTGGTATCGAAAATCAATTAAAATGAAGATAAATTGAATTATAGAGAATTTTAATTAAAACTCAAGTAAATCCCATTCGTGTGTGTATTTTGCGAACTGCTCCGAAATTTTGTTCTCAAAATGTCCGCTAAATATCCAAAAGCTACTAGAAACATCGCAATAGAATTTTCCACCACCAACAAAAGGCAAAGCAGCACAATAGCAACATCAGCAACAACAACAACAACGATAACAAAGAAACCACCAACAAGCGCGCGCACACAGAAAGGGGCGAATAAATGAGTGTAGCCAGCAACAACCCCGACACTGCCACGAAAATTGAGCGCCACCTCACCACCCAAGCAACTATGTTAATAGCTGGTTAGTGTGGCTAGTGGGTCAGAATAATCCGGCAGAGCAGGGGCGCTAGCCAACTAGCGAGCGAATAGCCATAACATTAGCAAATGGCTAAGCAGCCAGCTTTAGTAGCGGGTAGTAAGTGAACGACAGTCGAATTTTGGCCGAGCAAACGCCGCCACGTACAGAACGAGCTGTTGGTGGTAAAACGGTCGAGCCTGAATACATATGTAGAGTGANTTTTTGGCTCTTTGCAAATCTCAAAATTGCTGCATTGCGAATTTTGATTTTTGCAAAAAAAAAAACACGTANACAAAAGCAAAGTGATACTAATATTAAATTTTGAAAAAGCTAATTGAGCCATGCCGCACATAATGACGTCATAACTGATTTTTTCTTTAATTTTTGGCTCTTTGCAAATCTCAAAATTGCTGCATTGCGAATTTTGATTTTTGCAAAAAAAAAACACGTAGAAACTGGATTGTGAATCATTTCGACGCATTCGCGTGCCAAAACGCCATTTGTTGGTGCTGCAAGTGCTTTTAGGTTAAATTAATGCGACTTTTTTTGCTCAAGGTGAATGTGCGTGCAATAAACGGCATGACAACAACAATAGAAACAACAATAACGCAACAGCCTAGTTAGAGCTTCTTCTTTTATGCTTTACGAAAATCGATCGAATAATACGGTTGAAATTCCGGTTTCCTCACATTATACAACACTAGCAGTTGGTATCGAAAATCAATTAAAATGAAGATAAATTGAATTATAGAGAATTTTAATTAAAACTCAAGTAAATCCCATTCGTGTGTGTATTTTGCGAACTGCTCCGAAATTTTGTTCTCAAAATGTCCGCTAAATATCCAAAAGCTACTAGAAACATCGCAATAGAATTTTCCACCACCAACAAAAGGCAAAGCAGCACAATAGCAACATCAGCAACAACAACAACAACGATAACAAAGAAACCACCAACAAGCGCGCGCACACAGAAAGGGGCGAATAAATGAGTGTAGCCAGCAACAACCCCGACACTGCCACGAAAATTGAGCGCCACCTCACCACCCAAGCAACTATGTTAATAGCTGGTTAGTGTGGCTAGTGGGTCAGAATAATCCGGCAGAGCAGGGGCGCTAGCCAACTAGCGAGCGAATAGCCATAACATTAGCAAATGGCTAAGCAGCCAGCTTTAGTAGCGGGTAGTAAGTGAACGACAGTCGAATTTTGGCCGAGCAAACGCCGCCACGTACAGAACGAGCTGTTGGTGGTAAAACGGTCGAGCCTGAATACATATGTAGAGTGAAGGTGAGCAAAGTGAGCGCAGTGTCAATAGAAGATATAACTAGTAGTGGGCTAAAAGATTAACGCTCGCGCATTCATGGTTGCTCATACGCCACCCACACCAATCAAGAAGGGGCCAAGAAAAAAAAACAACGCCGCAACAGCTGAGACAGCTGTGAGCAACCCCGGCAGTCATATGCATAAAGTGTGCAACGTCAAGAAAATATGAAGAAGTTTGCAAATTCTATTAAAAACAAAAATAACTTGCAAATAATTTGAGGGAAAATATTAAGAAAAAATCGCATTTGATTGTAGCAGCGGAAAGTTTGTGAAAAATGTTTCTAGTGCTCACGCAAATAACACATTTCGTAAATAAAAACCAATAAACTTAAAAAAATTAAGTGAAATAAAATTTAACAAAAAGTAAAGAAATAACGAGTTTTAGTTGCTAACTCTTCATTATAAAAAAGGGAAAACGCTTTAAAATTTAAAATGTGAAAAAATGTATTATCAACAAACTTTTTAATTTTATAAATTGCACGATTTAGGTTTTTTCTTTTACTAGCCCAAATACCTTTTTTTATTATGGCTTTTCAAAAAAAAAAAACTGTTTACTATTTACGAAAAAATTTAATAAACAAAAATTTTTTATTAAGAATGTACAGCAAGTTTTAGGGTAAAATAATTCTTGGATCAAATATCCGCATACTTATTTTAATTCATAAAGAATTCTTAAAAATTTTCATACAATGTTCTTGAAACTACTAACTACAAACTATTTTTTTAGTTTGGGCCAAACGTTCATGAAAATTACCTAATCCGAATCTGAGGTCCGTTTGACTCATACACCGAAACCGAAAATGATTGCAAAAAATTCGCAATTTTTGCCATTTACTCGAAATTTTGGAGGTGGTCTGGTTAAAAGACCACACCACTTTTTTTTTGTGTGCCGGTGTTATTTATTACAAGATGGGGGCAACATATTTTTGGTTCATCTTTTTTTTTGTAGAGAAAAATTTTTGCAATTTTTTTTTCATAAAAACTTAAAAATAAAAATTTTAATTAAATATTTAGGGTTTTGGGACAAATTTTAAATTTGGCCAAATGCCCGCCTAAAAAATCTCAAAAAGATATTTCGAATATTTCCAAAAAAAAAATTAATAATCGTCAGAAAAATATAAAATTAATGAACTCACTTAATTGCGAGTCGGAAATAAACAACACTCAATTACATATTTTTGCTTGGGCAACGTTCGTACTATTTTTTTTTGCTCCTACTCGTGCTTCTCAAAAAATATATATTCGGTAATTAGTTTTTTTTTACGTTTTTATAAAACTTGGTTCAGAAAAAAATGCAACCACTCTTATTGGTATTTTTCTTTCAATAGCCATGGAATTTTAGACAAATTTTAAATTGAATAATTTTACTGAATATTAAAATTTAGAGAAAAAATTATAATAAAGAAAGCGTTTTTTTAATTTGAGTTTCTTAAGTTAAAAAATAACACAATTTTTTATATTTCCTAACATAAAGTCAAATTGATACAAGCTTTTAAATTAAAAATTACAAAAATTCAAAAATTTACAAACGCAAGCAAAAAAATTAAAATGCAAAATTAAAAAAAAAATAAAAATGAAAATTAGTGAATTTTCAAAACTTGTGTTTTTGTTTTGTTTGTTTGCAAAGAGTCAATGAACTCAAGAAAATTATTTTAATATTAGCAAAATACATTTGAAATCCCGAAACTTTTTAAGCTCTACCCAGCAAAGTGCAGAGTTTTGAAAATAAATATTACATAACAATTAAAATGTACGTAATCAAATAAAGTTTCGAAAATCTAACACAAAAATATAAACAGGTTTCTTACCACATCATAAAAAATTAAATTCCTGGAAATTTTTTTCCCTCGCTAAAAATTTTATATTATAAATTAAATAATTTTTTATATTAAGATTTGTAAAAATAAAATTACAATACTTTAAGTTAAATATAGAACTTTTCAATTGCTATAAGCTAAACCAAATTTTTTGAAACAAAAACTGTTTTTTTAATTTTTTTATTTTTTAATATCTTATGTTAAATTTTCCGGCGTTTACATATCCAAACGCTCAAGTTTCCTGTACCTAATTCCATAATATTCATTCGTTATTTAACCAGATTTCATTGAGAATTACAAAAAACACAACAAATACATGCAAACTTGAAGTAATAAAAGACAAATACTCACGAAATTAATTGAACGAATACAAATTAGAGAACTGATAAATTTCCTAAATTCCAGTAAAGTGGCAACAATATTTGCAGCAAAAGGGAAAGTCAACGAAAATTCAAACTAATTAAAGCAAAACAAAGTGAAAAAGAAAACAAAAAATTTGGAAAAATAAATAACTTTTCTACATTAAAATTTACACTAAAAAATCGAAAGCAAAAAAAATTCAAAACTATTTCCGAAATTAACATTAGTGACTACGAACCGCAACATAAAGCTTTAATCAGTGATATTTCTGCAACAACAAGCAAATATCGTAATAAATAAATAATCAATAAAAGAAAAATCTACANGAAAACAAAAAATTTGGAAAAATAAATAACTTTTCTACATTAAAATTTACACTAAAAAATCGAAA